ATAGACCTTTGAGTATTATTATCTTGAATAACGATCTTCTACTCTTGGAATTTCCCCTTTGTGCCTAGGAGGGTTTAGGACTGAGAATCCTTCCAGATATAAGGTGAGTGGGCCTCCCTACAAGTCCAGTAGTTCCCTCCATTTAGAACCTGATTTAGGGTGGCAGTAGAAATTCATCCTTTGCTAAAGTACTCTGTGTCACCCTAGGAATCAGTAATACAGCTATGCCTATCATATTAGTTCTTTGATTGCAATTTTAAGAGTTCTGTTTTAAGAATTCTTTGGTGGCAAGCAATCAATTTAAGCAGAAAAGTATGTCTCTTTACAGGAAATCTCAATAATTGGAGGAAAAACTGAAATCCAGGCCTTAGAAAAGTTAGGAGTAAAATCATTTTCAGGGGTCTAGACAGCAGGAACCAAAAGACTTCCTCTTCAGAGAACTGCCTATCAGGACAAGTTCTGGGCAAACAAAACAGTGTCCTCTCAATTACTTCCATAGGAATTAATCTGTTTTCTCTGAAGATTCATTCATTCATTCATTCATTTATGGATTACTATGTGTCAAGCAGTTTATAGTGGAAGAGCCTAATAATGCAAAATGAATAAAAAACAAGGATAGCAAACAGTTACAATGAACAGTGTGATAAAGAAATGCATAGGCACTATGAGAGTATATTAAAAAGATATAGCCCAGGCTTTTTCAAGAAGGATATCCAAGAAGATTACTAATAGATATTACATATCTATCATGGTTAGTGATTGTCATCACAAGCTCTTTGATAACTCTACTGGGAAAGATATTTTGCTGGCTTTAGAAATACATTTTAAAATGCATCCCAGCTGAGTTTTATTCAATACGAGACATATCTTATAATTATTGTTGGATGTTTCTGCAATTGAAAATTAGATGTAATATATAGCAGTCTGACTATACAGTCTTGAGACTGGTTTTCCTTCAAAAATCTTTGGATCCATTGTATTATTTTGTAGCCTTTTATTTTTATAAATTATTTACTTGCTCAATAAATGTAATTGTTTAAATGTTATTAATGAAAGACTAAGACCTATATCAAAACACTCTTCTTTTGTAATAGAGAACGTCACTGTATTTGTTTATTTTATTTATTTATTTTTTTTGAGATGATTTCCTACAATGCTGTCCAGGCTAGTCTTGAATTCCTGGGCTCCATCCTCCCACCTTAGCTTTCTGAGTAACTGTGACTCCAGGTGCACACTATAGTGCTCAGCAGCAGAAGACTCCTCTACAAGGCAAACAGCACCAGGAGTTGACAGTAATTTGGTGAGGCCAGATCTATAAAAGTACATTGAAACAGATTATTTTTAAAATCACATTTACATTTTAAGCTATATGAAAAATTGCAAATAAAATATCTAATTGGAGACAATAGTTTATATATTTAAGTTTTTTACTTTGATATCTGCTTAATTGCTCGAATTCTCTATTATATGATGATATGCATTATTTTTGCTCTTCTGGAAATACTTTTTTCAGTGTTCTAACCCTTTCTTTCAATTCAGAATTTTCTGTTCACTAATGTCCACTTCTAACCTATACCAGCACAAGGGGATTTCTTTCATGGAAAGAAATCCTAAACCTTTCTCTTTTGGACTTAGCTGCTACACTTCCTTTGGGAGAAAATTTACTAAGCTGAATTGTATAATTGATACTGGTGTTGAGAATTGGGTTTGAGTCCTGTTCACCCTGTGTTGAAGACTGAACGCTAGTCCTGTTCCCTGGTGTTGAAGATTGAACACCTGAGAAACACTGATGCAAGGGCAAAAGGGTTTTATTTAAAGGATAGAACAGAGAGAGAATCCTCTGCAGCAGGGGCTGAGTCCAAGTTGGTGCCTGAGGGAGTGGAAGTGTCCTCCCCTTTTATAGATTTTAGATTTCCTTTCTTCTTATGCCTCCTCCTCCTCTTATCTTGTTATGAGACAGAAAGGTGGAGTGACCAAGGAGGAAAATGGAGGCAAGTAACCTTGGCAATAGGTTGGAGGAGGGGGAAGTGCCCTGGGAGTATTAGCATTTTATTTCCTTTTGAATCAGCCCCCATCTTCCTGACCTATTCATTCATTACCCACACTGATTGTCCTTTTGCCCTCCCCCCCACTATCTTGTTTTACCCAATGGTTTAAAATATTTCTGAAGTTTGAGTGTTCAAATTTTGTTACTATCAGCCTACTTCTCAATGTAAGTGTGAACTTCATTTACTTAAGTAAAGAATATCTGTATATTCATATAGAATATTCATTTTTAAATTCTAGTCAAAGAGCTTTTTGGGGGGGTGGGAGTGGGGAGAGGTGCTGGGGATCAAACCTTGCACATGCCAGAAATGACTCTACCACTGAGCTAGATCCAAGTCCTGAAGAGCTTTTAATTATAAGAGTAATGATATAAGAACTTTCTTCAAATAAAGTATATTTGGTGCTTTTCTATCATAAATATATCTTTTTTGGCATCACATATGGATTCATTCTTACCAACTTCATAGATTTGGGTAAATTAACATCTCCAGTTTTTATGTTAATCTGCAGATTGGGGCTTTTAGTATCTATTCATCTACCTGCATATCTATGGGATTGTTAATGTGAGAATTTGAGTTAATGTATGTAAAATACCTCAACAACAATAACTAGTGCAGAGTTACAGAGGGGAAAAATACAGCTCCCTCACCAAAACACCAACTCATAACTTTTATCTGTATAGTCAATTAGTTATATTAGAGAATGTAGAGTCTTAAAACTGAGAAGAAATAAAACCTCCTTTGTTCCTTCTGAATTCTCTAAGGATCTATGCCTGATATGTTGGTTCCTAGAAAATATTATTTTTCTGCTCTTTTATTTCAGAACCAAAGTTTGGATAAGAAAAATTAGCAGTATTTTAGCACTATTAATGCTTTTAGAAAATGTATTAACAACAACAGCATTACTATATTTCAACATGTAACATTTCAGATTTTATGCCATTTTTTTTTTTTTGGCAAAATAGTAGGGTACAATCATTATGTGAAGATTTTTTTAAAAAATTGTGCTTGGTATTACTTAAAAATCATTTATTCCTAAACTGACTTTAGTGCAATACTAGAAGCACAGAATAATCATGAATATATATGTTAAAATTGAATAGTCTAAATTCATATACATCATTTCTTCATAACAGTTTAGCAAACATTTTTGGGCCTGTAAAAATAAAATTTAAATAACACATCAGTTGTTAATGATTTGTGCATTATATAGCCTAAATATTACATTAGATAGTCTAAATATTACACTTGAAAACATTTATTACAGTGTTGCTAAATATGGCCTTAAATTTAATCTCAGCCAAGTGAGACAGGTACACCTGTAATCCCAGTGGTTTGGGAGGCTGAGGAGGAGAATGGGGGGTTCAAAGCCACTCAGTGAGACCCTGTCTTTAAATAAATAATACAAAATAAGGCTGGGGATGTGACTCAGTGGTCAGGTACCCCTGAGTTAAATCCCCGGAACCGCTCCCCTAAAAAATGAGTTAATCTTGTGTTCACCACTATGTGATCTAGGTTTTATTATCTGACATGCTGTCTTCAGCACCACTCAGTAAGTTGTGTTTACCTTTAGTATGGCAGTGCTGTAAACAAACCATGCAAACCAGCAGCTTTTGGAAATAATATTGACAATACACCATGGGCTGAGAATTCTAGGCTTCAGGTCCTCATTCTGTGAGAAGACAAATTCAAATCTATATGCCACTGGTTAATGAATTACTGCTGTGTTTGCCTTTTAATCCATATAAGATACAGAATTATACCCATAGGACAGTTTTACAATAAAAGTTTATAAATCAATTTTTGGACTGAAGAAACAGGTGTGACCATTATGAGGTAGTGATGATTATGTGGTGAAATACAGTAATAATTGAGTATTTTCTCTGTGTCAGGAACTCCTCTAAACTCTGCACATGAATTTTATCATTTAATCGTCACAGTTCTGTAAGGTAGGGGCTCTTACCAGCCTTCATGTATAGACATTATATGGTGGCAGAGACTTTGAAAACCTTGGTCAAGGTCACCCAGCTTGTAAGCAGGTGAGACAGCATTGAAACTTGGTAATAAGGCTCCAGAGAATGTGCTCCTATCTATGTCAATTGATAGAAGGACATTCTATGTGCCTTTCCCCACTAATTGAAATGATGTAGTCTTCATGATTCAAATCATCCTTTGATTGCTATCATTACAGTTATTCTCAAGAAATAAATGAAATTGTTCTCTTTTCCAGTTATATCCTTGTTAAATATTTTACATTTCTAACTTATACTCAAAGAAATTTTTATAATTTGTGTATCATGTCTAAGACATTTATTCATTTAATCATTCCTCTATCCAATATTCATTGAAAGGAGCTTTCTGTGTGCTTGACATTATTTCTAGGTTTTTATCTCTTGTGACTAAATGCATGTATAGTTGATTATAATTCCATTTTCAGTGTTTCAAGACATCAATTAAAAATACCTTAATGTACATTATTACCAGTCTAAAATTTTTTTTTCAAAACCATTTTTCCTATGTATTGTTTTGCTTTGAAGAGAATGCAACATCCAAACTAGGACCTTATTATGCAAATATATTAGAAAATTGTTAATTAATTATGAAATAATATTTGCCTTTTAAAAGTAGCTCACATAATCTACTAAATGAGAAGGGCATATCTGAATGTATCAGTGGGGAAAATAAAAAATACCGAGTACAGTGCTTATCTTTAGTATTAGTTATTTGGGGGGGGGGTGTTTCTATTTTGCTTTTCCTATAGAAATCATCTGTTGAGATAGTATTTGGTTTTTAATAAATTACAAATTATAATAAACTGTATTGCCAATTTTAATACAAAATGATTATGTAATTTCATTTTTTTAACTCGGTTTTATTATGGCAAAGAATTTATGGGTTTTAAACGTCTAGAGTCTGACCATTGGAAGCTATTTTATTTTCTCTTTTTGTTTATAGCACGAAGGAATAGCACTGACCCAGCAGATTTGGACAATGTACAACAGCACAAGGTATATCTGAGTTTAGTAATAAACATTTTTATAGGGATGCAACTGCTAGTTATTTTATAGATTATCAAAGGGAAAAGAAAGTGCTGAAGCATTAGTCAGCAATAGTGACTTCAGTTTTTATTGTATGACACTTTGGATAATTACATGAGAATCAGAGAGTTCTAGGTTATTAGTTTGAGAAGAAATTGAGTAAATGTAGCATATCTGGTTACACTAATGTATTGGTAGCCATTTCCTTTGTTTTTTTTTTCTTCATGGAGGCTGAGGTTTATCAACCACATTGAATTTCCTCTGGTCTAAGCACAGTACAAGAGTCAAAGGTGTCAGCCCATCCCTTCAAACTTACATGGTGGGTGGTTACTCTTCATCTGGTACTTGAGTTGTGGCGAGTGCAATGAAGCAGTGTTCCCATTTTAATCTAAGCAGCTCACAATAAACTCTTTCTATAAAAGACCAGTTTAAGATTATATCTCTCTTCTAGTTTTTAAAGCCCCTTTTCTACTTCCCTGCCTATATTTCTCCCAGATAGCAGAGGAAGAAACTCTCCTAATTCTAGCTCTAGCTATATAACAGTTGGGAGAGGAGAATGTTTCTAAAGCATTCTTGTAAAACTTCCTTGTGAAGGAAACTTTGTTCTGATTAGTTTAAAAGCCTATTAAAATTAAGTAGATTAAAATGTTGTTTATATTTAGTAAAATAAATAGTGCTAAATACTGGCAAAAAGGAATTAAAATGAACATAGAAAATAAAAATTAGAACACATACTGAGCCTAAGCCTTTCTTCTGTAGTCTAGCTCTTTTGAAATATCAGGTTAGCTATATTCCAGCAGGCCCTGTGGTTAGACCCAATGATACAATTGAATGGAATAGTAGTTTCATTTATCAAAAATTGAGATTAAATTGAGTATAGATGTACAATTAAAAAATAACACTTATGTATATTTTGTTTCTATAGAAACCAAAATTCAGTTCTGAAAATCACATTGGGTTTGTTTGTAATGAAAATTCTGACAAACAAAAACCAGAACATGTAGAAGTCAATAAAAGAAGCAAAGAGAATTTATTTTTAAATGAAAAACATATATATGAACATTACCAAAAAGATACCAAACCCACAAAATTTGGTAATTCCAGGCGTAAAAAATCAACTGTTGACCAAATACACTCTACAGGACGCAGTAAGGTCAGTCTCCATAAAGACAAAGGAATCAGCACAAATGTGTCCAAGGGTAAAAGAAGAAGAAACACAATACATAAAAGGACTCATGTGGATGATGGAGACTGCCATTCAGGACAGACAATAGCTGTCTCTTCTTCCAGGAGAATAAACAGAGTGGCTATTCCTCAGCAGCATATTCTCCAAACCCCTAATGATCTTCCAGAAGAATCATGTGAACCTTCCAGTCCTACTCTGTCAAGCCTGAAAAATGCATTAGATAATAATATCGAGACTTACTCCATGTCCAAAGAAATACATACCCCCAGTCTGGATTTGTCAAATAGTCCAGAAATGCATTTCTTGGAGTTACAATCCACTGGCCAACCTGAAACTATTTCTTTCTCAGGACTTAGAGTATGTAAAGAAATCAAGTTACCACTTATTACTGAAGATCAGCAGCTTCATGCTCACCAAGAACAACACTGTAGCCCTTATAAATTTCATGAATATATTAACTCAAATAAAAAAAAAGAGCGCTTTAATAAATGGGAAAATTCTTTCCTAACCTTTATAAAGGAAAATTTTGATAATGATAATGATTGCTACACTTCCGAGAAGACTGTAACATCTGAAAAGGTGGTATGTTCTAAAGAACGTAAAAGCCACTGTAATTGTGAGGAGAACTTAACGAATAGAAAAGAAATGGATTTTCAACAGCTTTTACTATCTGAAGACCATTTTTCACAGGAGAAGGCATTAAACAGTCTAACCACACTTCAACAAGAGGAAGTTATTCATTTTTCTGATTCAGATAGTGCAGTCATTTTTGATAAACATATTGCAAATCATGTACAATGCATGTATGGAGCATCTTTTGATCACTCACATGGCAATCCTGAGCAAACTTCCAAGGCTTATACAAGAACACTTTCAATACATGAAGTTTCAAAGGTGACTAGTCATGTGGAGCTAGTAGAAAAGCCTCAGGATAATAGCCCCAGAGAACCAACTCCTTTAATGAATCAGACAGAAAAACATATTGTGGAAAGGGTGTGTATAGAAAAGAAACAAGACACTAAAGGGAATGATACTAAAAAATGCCAAATTACAAGTTCTTCAAACAAGCCTTTCCCCACAGTTGACCATTCTCAAGGAGTACAAATAACTAAAGTTGAAAAAAAGAGGCAAGACCTTACAGAGAGTGAGCCCATGCATAATATAGATTTTCATTCTACTGACAATATGAATAAAGAAATGAACATCATCTCACAATCTATTAATCAAGTAGAAGAGAAGAAAAATTCTCACAAATCAGGTATTAGTAGTATCGCTCAATTTGTACACATTTTCTATAGATTTACTTTATAGAAATTTCCAAATGAATTTCACTTAATCTATGCCCAACAAACAGCAGTGAGGCCACATGGGTCATGATTTGGAATGCTGCTAAGCCTGATAGTTAAGTAATAGTGTTTATTTTGAAAGCAAACATTATCATCAAAGGTGGTTGTTAAGCTGATGTTGAAAGAAGCTAATAAGCAGTTGTCTGTCAGTTTTTGTGTTTCTCCACAGTACAGCACTTTTTTAGTATCAGGAAACCTAGCAGCATTAAAAATTTTTTTTTTAGTTATGTATGGACGCAATGCCTTTATTTATTGATTGATTGATTAATTTTTTTATTATTAGTTGTTCACAACATTACATAGCTCTTGACATATCATATTTCATACATTTGATTCAAGTGGGTTATGAACTCCCTTTTTTACCCCGTATACAGATTGCAGAATCACATCGGTTATACATACTGCCATACTAGTATCTGTTGTATTCTGCTGCCCTTCCTATCCTCTACTATCCCCCCTCCCCTCCCCTCCCCTCCCATCTTCTCTCTCTACCCCATCTACTGTAATTCATTTCTCTCCCTTGTTTTTTTTTCCCTTTCCCCTTGCTTCCTCTTATATGCAATTTTGTATAACGATGAGGGTCTCCTTCCATTTCCATGCAATTTCCCTTCTCTCTCCCTTTCCCTCCCACCTCTTCTCCCTGTTTAATGTTAATCTTCTTCTCATGCTCTTCCTCCCTACTCTGTTCTTAGTTGCTCTCCTTATATCAAAGAAGACATTTGGCATTTGTTTTTTTATTTATTTTTATGCAGTGCTGAGGATTGAACCCAGTGCCTCACACATGCTAGGCAAGTGCTCTACCACTGATCTATAGTCCCATCCCCCCAACAACATTTTCATAGCAGGAAATTATTAGCTCTGATGATTGCAGCCATTGATTGTAATTGCAACCAGCAAACTATGCTTTGTTACATAAAAATATTTTTAAAGTCTTCTATTCTCTTTTAAACAGTTCAGCTTGAAACAAACTAAAGTACGAATTTTTTGTTGTTGTCATGTAATTTATAAGGAGAACTACAGTACTGATACTGTAAAATGTTGTGTTTCAGATGAAGAATTAACTAATGATATCAATGTAGATGAAAGAGCTATAAGAAATTGTGAGGATGAAAAAGAAAAAATGAATACAGAAACTTACATGTCTCCTAATATCCAAGAACATAAAAAAGGTCAGAATTTCAGAAACAGACAAAATTTCTTGAAAGTTACCTACAACCAAGGTTTGCAAATTGTTTTGTTAAAAGTTATATAATTAAGCCCAGTGGTTTACTTCAAAGAATTTCTGAACAATCAGTTATACCGTTTACTTTTTTTAGCTATTCACTAAGTTATAAGATTATTTCATTTATATTTGTTGTTAAGGCACCACTTGAGAATTTATTAGTCTTCAGATATGTTCTTGTCATATTTCTGATTATGATTTCTAGTTCTGTTAGAGTAGGTAAAATAAGCAGCAGTAGTTTTTGCTCCAAAGTTATACAACTACCTTTTTTGCTACAAAACCACTGAGAACAAAGTAATAGGATTTGTACCATTCACAGTGAGAATCATAGGAGAAATTTTTCAATTCAAACTTGCACATTATGGACCCACCATTTTAGCTGTTTTATAGTTTTAAAATCCCCCTCCCTCCCTCCCTCTCTCTCTCTCTCTCTCTCTCTCTCTCTCAGTTTGTGCTTTATTACTTCCTCCTCTATTTATATAGTACTTTAAAATATATTTTATTATCATTTTAGCATGAATTGGGAAGAAATGGGAGAGAAACATATGATCTGTCCATTCATTTTCGTTCCAGTATAAAGGTGTAACTTGCACTGCAAAGGAAAGATTTTTTAAAAAAAAAAAATCTTTGGACAATAATATTATACTGAATTTTTTGTAGTGAATTTTTTTATGATACAAAAATAAAGAACCCAGTAGGCCACAGTTTGGTACTTGGTAGCTTACTGTAATAAGAGCATACCCACTTAGACATAGAATAGCTATAGAAAGCAAATTTTTATAATATAACTTATTGTTCTAAGAAAAATGCTATCTGTTGCTAAAAAACTACTGAAGAGTGAGATGATGTAAAACTGAAAGAAGTTTATTTGTTTTAATCAAGTGTGTGTTGTCCAACTGCTGGAATGAATGCAAATTAATATGTTCAGGTGCTCTGTTATTTCTTCACAAGTTATACTTTAAAGCAGTAGCAGCAGCACTAATATTAATTGATGTATGTTTTTGTGTAATATACTTGCTTAGAATAGTTTGAAGAAGTTGTTATGTATTTTCCAAGATCCTTAATAATCAACATTTGGCAAAAAGGTAGTTTTGAGTTTTGTTTGGCAAATTTACAGAAATGAAGAAAGCTGGGATCAATAAGAGGAATGTCAGAGGGGAAAGCCGCCTTCATTTGGCTGCCAGAAGAGGAAATCTGTCCCTAGTGAAAGTTCTAATAGAATCAGGAGCTGATGTGAATCTAAAAGATAATGCAGGTTTGGATCTTATTTTTTTCTTCTCCCCCCCCCCCTTTTTTTTTGGTGCTGGGGATTGAACCGAGGGCCTTGTGCATGCCAGCAAGCACTCTACCAACTGAGCTATATCCCCAGTCCTTGGATCCTTTTAATTTAATTGCTTTTATAATTTGATCTCACTGAAATACTCATTTTATTCCCCACCCATTTTGATCCTGGATGAGTGTTTGAACACATTTTTATATTATAGTGTTTATTTAGTTGAATGGTAAGATTAATTGTTGCTAAAATATTTCTCCTTTTTTGCATCCATTTGAGAGCATTAAAAAGAGGTGTACAGAATGGGGAGTAAAGGGAGTGAGACCTTTTATTTGGAAGTCTTAATTCTGTTCCCTAGCTTTGTAGCAAAGGCAAAATAGTCCTATTTTTCTGTCCCTTCTTCTCTTTCCTCCTCCATTTATACTGTTTGCTTCTCTTTCACATTTTTATTCTAAACCTTCATTTAAAAAATGAGACTTCTGCGGGATGTGGTGGCACACGTCTGCAATTCCAACAGTTTGGGAGGTTGAGATGGGAGAATCACAAGTACAAAACCAACCTCAGCAACTTACTGAGGCCCTGAGCAACTCAATGAGACCCCATCTCTAAGTAAAATATAAAAAATGGCTGGGAATGTGGCTCAGTGGTTAAGTGCCCCTGCGTTCAATACCTGGTACCAAAAACAAAAATAAAAACCAGGATCAGCTATTAAAACCAGAGCCTATTTGAATACACAATTTCATCTAGTAGGCCACATAATAAATCTTTTAAAAAAAATGAAACTTCTTAAATTTTTGCTTATAAACAAAATAATCTTGTGTAAAGAATTCCAGAGGGGGTTGGGGTTATGGCTCAGCGGTAGAGCGCTCGGCTAGCATGTGAGAGACCTTGGGTTCAATCCTCAGCACCACAAAAAAAATAAATAAAAAATTAAAGGTATTGACAATCACAACTGAAAAATAAATATTAAAAAAAATTCCAGAGGGAAAGCACAAAGGTTGATCAAGTCAGATGTCATTTTAAAGAGAATTGTGATAATGCAAAGATAAAAATAGGCAAGTCAGATATTTTTATATCTGAGTTGAAGCAAATTGAAATAATTTGCATTTATCTGGTCCCATTCTATTTTACATTCTGTTGAGTCTTCTTTTTTGGCACATATTGTATCAACAATATTAATGAAGTGTGATCAATTTGTTTTCAAAACTGAAACACATTTTAAGGCCATAGTTTTCAGCATTATTTATTGTCCAATATTTAGTATATACATGCTTCAAAATAGATATTATTTCTACTAAGGCAAAAAAAAGAAATAAAGATATTACATGAGGGCGTGGGTTGTGGCTCAGCGGTAGAGTGCTCGCCTCGCACATGTGAAACCCTGGGTTGGATCCTCAGCACCACATAAAAATAAATAAATAAACAAAATAAAAATATTGTGCCCATGTATAACTAAAATAAATAAAAAGATATTACATGAATGTTGGTCTGTAAGGAGCAGATTGTTGTTGTGGTTGTTTTTTCTTTCTAGGTTCGACACCACTTCATGAGGCATCTAATGAAGGATTTAATGATATAATTGTAGAGTTGTTAAAAGCTGGTACTAATGTTAATTGTGAGAATATAGATGGAATTCTGCCCTTACATGATGCTGTTGCAAGCAATCATTTAAAGGTACAGTGGATGTCATATTTAAGTTCCTATTACTTAGGATAATGAGTGAATAAAATTAGGATATTTTAAATTGAGAATTAAAGTGATTCCCTAAATTAACAAATGATTTTAAAACCTGCTAAAGGGCTGGGGTTGTGGCTCAGGGGTAGAACACTCTCGTAGCATGTGCGAGACTCTGAGTTCGATCCTTAGCACCACATAAAGATAAGTATATAAAGATATTGTGTTCATCTACAACTAAAAAATATTTTAAAAAAATAAAACTTGCTAAAGTTACAAATGAAGATATACTGTATATGGATTGGAAAATATATGTCTTAATGAATTATTTTTTATATTTATCACAGTGCATGTAAGTCAAAAGAAAACACATTCTGTATAAATCCAGCATGTTTCATGTTGGGGTAAAACATGAGTTGCTTGTTTCTTGAGGGTTTGTTATATCTTCCTTGTTTTTCTCTTCAGGCAGTCATAGTAAAAATAACACAAGAGAAGATTACTTGGATCATTATTTGGGTAACACAGAATTTCTGATATAGACTTTGAAACTCTTTAGATTTTTAAACTAACCTTTTTGTTTGGCAGTCTTCCTAGATTTTTCTCCCTAGAAAACTTGTTGTTATCAGTGACACTATAGACTTCAGGAATAATTATTGGTTTTGAAAATACAGTTAAGGACAGTACCACAACCAACAATAGCAATGTAAAACCAGGATTTATAGAAAAAATTTCTTGGATCCCTCTTGAGTATCTGTTTATCTGTCTCTTGATATTTTTAAGAGCCTTGTGACTTTAATTTTGTAAAAGTGTTCCTACTGCTTTCAGCCAAAGTGTAGTCATGTGAAGGAATAGTATCATCAAATTTATGATTTACAGATATAAGAGATGTGAGCTAATGATTAAGAATGAGATGATAGTAAGTAGGTTTATGTTCATTGTGACTTTTTTTTACCAAAATAAACTTTTTGGCCTTTAAGATATTTAAAGTTAAAAAATAATACACAAATTCTCAAGGCTGTGTGGTTCTGAAATGGAAGAAAGCAAACAGAAAGAGTCAATGAAGTGACAAACCTACTACTTAGTACAGGGAAAAGGCCACTTAGTTTGAAACCACTTAAATATAGATCAGAATTTCTTAGTGGGAAAATCAGGGTTTTGGACATTATTCTGAAAAATGGCATCTTAAAAAAAAAGTTAATTCTCATATTTTTGTTGGGGGTCACCAACATCATCCCTACATTTAGAGGCATGTTAGAAGTATTAGTACAAAAAGACCAGGATGAACGCAAACTTCACAAATCAGTTCAGCACTTTATTCAGGAATGAAGTTCACACAGGAGCAGGAGATGCAGGGACGAAATGACGCCATGGTGGGACCCACTTTCCTGGTGGAAAATGAGCCCCCAAACAAATAAAGGGCCTGGGCTTATATAGATATTCTGAGAGGTGGTCTAGTGAGCATATCAACTTTCTTTGGGCACCTGGGAATTTGGAGTTTGTTCTATCATCAGTGAAGGAGTCAGTTTTAGTGCTTAGGAATTTAGGATTTGTTTTATGGGGCAAAATGGGAGGGAGTCTAGGGTCAGTGGTCAGTTTCTGGAATTTATTATACTGGACTTGATGGAAGGGCTGGGGTCAGTGGTTGGTATCTGGAAAGGATTTGTTTGCAGAAGGGTTAATGCTTTGGCCTCTTTGCAGAGACTGCCCTTCCAGGTTTGATGGACACCTTTTCTGCAGGGTTTGTTTTATCACCAGGAAAGAATATATTGGGAAAGGTTCAATGCTCTCAATGTATAACTTTCCTTCTCACTCCCATTTCCCCGGGTCTCACTACTTTGGGGGTTTGTTATTTTCCATATCTAATAAGAAGGACTTCTAGAACTTGGTATATAGTTGTTCTTATGGCTAAGATTTGTAACAGCAATGTAGTAAGGATACATATTTGGGTCATAAGAGAAAATGACGAAAGGAATATGGAGTATCTATGTGAAAGCTTTCTTATGCGCTCCTCTTTGTAAGGGATCACACAGAGCTTACTCCCCACAGCAGTGAAAATCTAGGAATATGTATGCAATATTTCTGGCCATGAAAGCCCATGAGAGACTCAACGTCCAAGAATTTTTTTGTAGGCAAGCTGCGCTTGCTTACCGGGTAGCAAAATTCCAGACTCCCAGAAGAATATACCACATTGTTGTGTAAATAGCTTAAACATAGTGAGCTACTATCAGGCAGTTTTATATTAGTGGTATGGTACTGCTTACCAGTCAAGTTCATTGATGGCAGCTAACAACCAACCTTGAAAGTGACCTGCTGCGTTAACACATTTCTGAACATTATTTACTGACAGTTCCTGACTTAACAGTTTGACTTTATGATGGTAAAAAAGCAACAGAAAACCATATTCAGATTTTGAATTTTGGTCCTTTCTTGGTGTAGCAGTATGTGCTATGATATATTGTCTTGATACTGGGTAGCCACATTTCCCTTTACATAATCACAAAGGTAAACAATAATACTTTTTAGTGGACTATGTTGCTATGATGTTTGGTAGATTAAGTGTATTAAAGGCATTTTAATTATACTATTTTCAACTTAATTATATATTGGGATGTATAACCCATCATAATTCAATTTAGTTCTAATTAAAACATACTAATTTCTTAAACAGCTTAATTGCTGTTATAAAATGTTTCAGGCCTGATTTTTTTTTTTTTGGCAAAATTGTATGATAGCACCTACGACATTCTTATAGTTTTTTTTTTTTTCTTTTTTGGGGGAGTACCAAGGATTGAACTCAGGGGCATTCAACCACTTAGCCACATCCCAGCCCGATTTTGTATTTTATTTAGAGACAGGGTCTCACTACTGAGTTGTTTAAGGCCTCAATAAATTGCTGAGGCTGGCGTTGAACTCATGATCCTTCTGTCTCAGCCTCTGAAGCCACTGAGACTACAGGTATGTGCCACTGCACCCAGTCCTTACAGTTAATTTTTGCATTGTGGTCTCAAGAAAAATTTCTTTTCAAAATTTTAAGAACAATCATAAGTTTTTTTCTAGGTCATCTATTAGTTCTTTCATATTCAAACCATTGTAATTTTGCTTTTGTTAAGCTGTCAGTTTCTTACTCATCAGTGTCTTTACGGTGCTTCAGACACTTATCCAACATTATTTTAATGTATGACTGGAGAAAAATCCAACATCTTTCCTTTTTTACTTTGAAATCAACTTGAAGTATATTTTCATTTTATTTTTGACTATTTACAAAGTCAGTAACCAGTAGTAAACAAGTTAGGGGAAAGATATTGACATAGTATATGGGATAGATACCATATAATAAGCAAAAAGAGATGTTCTATTTGGGTCAGTTTTATAGGTGGTCTTAATTAGTGAGAATTTTCCTATTTTTAAAGACTCTGTCTTTCCTCATAGCAATTTGGTGATTTCAGGGAACTGAATAATGATTACTCAGATATAGAGGGTCTTCTGTAAAAAATGAACATTAGGAACAGAAAATTAACCACAGGAGATATCAAAAGGGAAGCTTAGTGTAATGGATAAAACACTGAAATAATATTGGAAAACTTATATTCTAAACCTAATTCTACTGCTTGAGAAAGACATTTTTTTTTCTTTATCCCTGAAACAAAGAATTTGATTAAGTACTATAGCCACTATACACATGTAGTTATTTAAGTTCCTTAAAATTTCACCCACATTCCTCCCTTTTTCTTCTTCCTCCCCCTTAACCTTCTATCCCCTTCCACAACTTCACTGATCTACTATTTTCATTGGATTCCCCATTTTCCCCCTTACTTTGTTCTAGTCTCTGCATATGAAAAAACATTTTCAACCTTTGACTTTCTGAGTTTGGCTTACTTCAATAAAGCATGATGTTCTCTAGTTTCATCCATTTGCCAGCAAATGCCATAATTTCATTCTTTTTTATGGCTGAGTAAAATTTCATTGTATGTATATACCATATTATCCATTCATCTGTTGACAGGTACCTGGGCCAATTCCATAACTTGGCTATTATGTATTGCACTGGTACAAACATTGATGTACTTTTATCACTACAGTATACTGATTTTACTTCTTTTGGATAAATACCAAGGAATGGGACAACTGGATCATATGATGGTTCCATTCTACATTGCTTTTCAAACTGGTTATACTAATTTGCAGTCCCATCAACAAGCTATGAGTGTATCTTTTTCCCCACATTCTTGGCAGCATTTATTATAATTTGTATTCTTTTTTTTTATTGTTGGTTGTTCAAAACATTACATAGTTCTTGATATATCATGTTTCACACTTTGCTTCAAGTGGGTTATGAACTCCCATTTTTAGCCCATATACAGATTGCAGAATCACATCAGTTACACATCCATTGATTTACATATTGCCATACTAGTGACTGTCGTGTTCTGCTAACTTTCCTATCCTCTACTATCCCCCCTCCCCTCCCCTCCCCTCCCCTCTTCTCTCTCTACCCCCTCTACTGACCTTCATTTCTCCCCCTTGTATTATTTTTCCCTTTCCCCTCATTTCCTCTTGTATGTTCTTTTGTATAACCCTGAGGGTCTCCTTCCATTTCCATGCAATTTCCCTTTTCTCTCCCTTTCCCTCCCACCTCTCATCTCTGTTTAATGTTAATCTTCTTCTCATGCTCTTCGTCCCTACTCTGTTCTTAGTTACTCTCCTTATATCAAAGAAGACATTTGGCATTTGTTTTTTAGGGATTGGCTAGCTTCACTTAGCATAATCTGCTCTAGTGCCATCCATTTCCCTGCAAATTCTATGATTTTGTCATTTTTTAATGCAGAGTAATACTCCATTGTGTATAAATGCCACATTTTTTTAATCCATTCGTCTATTGAAGGGCATCTGGGTTGGTTCCACAGTCTTGCTATTGTGAATTGAGCTGCTATGAACATCGATGTAGCAGTGTCCCTGTAGCATGCTCTTTTTAGGTCTTTAGGGAATAGACCAAGAAGGGG